TGGTGGACTCTTGTCTGTGGTGGACTCTTGTCTGTTGGTGGACTCTTGTCTGTGGTGGACTCTTGTCTGTGGTGGACTCCTGTCTGTTGGTGGACTCCTGTCTGCTGGTGGACTCTTATCTGCTGGTGGACTCTTGTCTGCTGGTAGACTCTTGTCTGTGGTGGACTCCTGTCTGCTGCTGGTGGAGTATTATCTGTGGCGGACTCTTGTCAGCTGCTGGTGGACTTGTGTTCGCTGCTGGTGAACAAGACTGATGAAGCCCCTGCCCTCATAGGAGAGAGAAATATTAACCAGCAACTGATCATAATGATGAAAAGTGCTGCTAAGCAATTGTGGGCAGTTTGACAGTGTATGAGTCTGGGAGCTGGAGAGGTGCTCCTGAGATGAGTGGCTGAGTTCAAACCCCAGGTTGAGAGGATTTGACTAGGGGAGTGGTGTTTCAGGCTGGGAAACCCACAGAGCTTATATAGGAAGGAACCTGGCGAGTTTCAGGAACTGAGGAGAGTCCGTACTGAGTGAGAATGAATGAGCAATGTCCAGGGCCACGTTATGGGTTTAGTTTAAATTGATTAGTTGAAAAGAAAAAAACTAACGAGTCAGTTAGAGTTAACAGGGTGTATTGAGCCATAAGCTGTTTGCAAACAGGGAGCATCCAAAAAGGGACTCATGCAAGCAGCGTGAGGACAGATTCTTAAAGGCAGTTAGGGAATTCTGGTAGAGAAGTTATAATGATTGGATCTTATGTGTGTCCTTAACTGAAGCTGGTGGTGGTGGTGTGTGCCTTCAATGTCAACTTATAGCAACCCCATGTGACAGAGCAGAACTGTCCCATAGGGTTTTCTAGGCTGTAATTTTTATTGGAGCAGATCATCAGGTCTTTCTCCCGCAAAGCTGCTGGGTGGATTTGAACCACCAACCTTTCGTTCGACAGCTAAGTGCTTAGCCACTGCACCACCAGGGCTCCTTAATTGAAGGGAGGGTTCTACAAAGCAGGGGTCTTTCTGTCACTTATTTCATGGTTATACTTGTCTGGTAGGAATTGTGTCTGGTATGGTGAGTCAGAAACATTCTTCAATGCCAAGTTGTCTTTTTGGGAAAGTCCAACAATTAGAACTCTTTGTAAACTCCCTATTGTTCTGCCAGGATTGGTACCTGACACGAATGGCCATTTTGATTTATTGTTCTCAGAAAGGTTTTGCATATGGCACAAACAGCCTTTAATCTTTAGTTAATATTTAACAGATTAAAGAATAAAATTAGTTAGATGGGGTTTTTTTTTTTGGCAATTAAAACCAACTTTCCTAATGCACACAAGCCCTTCCTTGGCTGATCAAGACAAGCTTAGGCTGTGGGATGTCAGGGTGGGATTCAAGCCAACTCAGCTGCTTGGCCCCCTGCCCCACAGGCCTCTGCAGAGTATTGCCTGGCTTTCTTCAAGCCCCTGCCCTGCTCACAGCTGCTCAGGGGCGGTGCCCATTGTCTCCAGAACTCTCCACCTGCTCAAGGCCACCGCCCCCAGGTGTCTCCATTTTGACCCTCACTGCACCTACCCTCAGGCATTCAGGCCACCATCGCATGTCCACCTCCTTCAAGAGCTGCTCACATTCCTCCCCGCACCGGGGTTCACTCGCACGTGTTGAGAACAGGAAGACAATGTGGTCCCTGCACTCAGGATACAGTAAAAAAAAAAATTAAAAAAAAAACCATTCCGGTCGATCAGTTCCTACTGATGATGACCCCATGTGTTGCAGAGTAGATCTGTGCTCCACAGGGTTTTCCTGGCTGTAGTCCTTACGGAAACAGATCACCAGGTCTTTCTTCTGCAGCCCTGCTGGGCGGGTTAGACCTGCCAACCTTTAGGTTAGTTCTTGTTAGTTGCTGTCGAGTCAGTTCGAACTCATGCTGAAAGGTTGGTGGTTCAAACGCACCCAGCAGGGCTACGGAAGGAAGGCCTGGTGATCTGTTCCCATAAGGACTACAGCCAGGAAAACCCTATGGAGCACAGATCTACTCTGCACACATGGGGTCACCATGAGCTTAGGTTAATAGTTGAACGTAAGCCATTTGCGCCTCCCAGGGACCTGAGGGTACAGTAAGTGGTGGTTAAATATTTATTACACAATAGCCCTGATATCACTCTGCAATAACTCTTTTTTTTTTCCAATTTTCTAGACCATAAGACAAAAAATTTTAGACTTCTTGAATCCCTTGGCAGCCCACCTTGGGGTTCAGCTCATAGCAGCTGTTGCAGCAGTGTGGAGCAGGAAGAAAGTGAAACGTCACAGTAAAATGAAGGTAAAGCTAGAAAACTAAGGGAGTAGTTACGCTTGCCAAAGAGTCACACGTAATCGAAGTTGATGTAAGAGGCCAACATGGGCAGCTGTTGCAGTGGCTTCGCTGTTTTAAATGCACAGGATGATAGCAATGTGGCCGGGGGCTGTCTTGTAAAAGGGGAATAAACAAACAAAACCCACCCGCGGACCTACCACCTGGCTTAAGACCTGGTTCACTGTCAGACTGTGCAGGCCCTGTGCCCGCCCCTGCTTCTAGCATCATTTTGTAGCTTTTTTAATTTATAGAAACAGTCCTTATCCATTATAGTAAAGAAAATTAAAATCATCATATTCCTATTCCCACAACTAATGTCAGTTTTCCTTTTATCCATTTAGGGGTTTGGTTGACATTTTTCTGCAAGCCCAATACATTCCTGGAGCCCTGGTGGTGTATTGGTTATGAGCTCGGCTGCTAATCAAAAGGATGGCAGTTCGAATCCCCCAGCCGCTCCTTGGAAACCCGATGGGGCAGTTGTACTCTGTCCTATAGGGTTGCTATGAGTCGGAATCAACTCGATGGCAATGGGCTTTAATGCATGCCTCTCCCTTGTCCCCTCTCTTGACTCCATTCCAGTTCCTACCTCACACCCCTCTCCTCTGAGAGATCTCTCCTGCCTGTGGGATACTCCATAGAGCCTCCTGCCTCTGTGCCCAACATGGGCTTCTGTTACCTGAGGAGGAGTGAGGGGTTGGTCCCCAGGCCACCCTGTGGATCACCTGCAAGGCCCTTCCTTGGTGATAAACTTAATGCCAGTTGGTTTTCTTCCAAACCTTGTTCAAGCCACATCATACAGATTTCTAGAATCAGCATTGTGCCTCCTATACCGAGGCTTTCCTGCCAGGGCCAGCGTGTGTTAGCCTGATTTCTCTCTTTTTCTTACTGTCCTGGTACTTTTGGGCCCATCTCTTGATGCTAACCTGTTGCCTTCAAATCAAGCATATCTGATTCCAAAAATACTTCCCAAACTGGAACATGCCATTGTTATTGCCCCACCATCAACTGCACCTTTTTTCCCTAATTATATATCAGATGTGTAGTATGACTATTGGAATTAAATGCTTAACTAACTCTATATTCCCACCAGTGGAATCCTTTACCCAATTCAGTGGGAAATATTTATTAAAAAGATTGAAACAAATTGCTTTCTCTAGGGACAACTATGATAGAATATTTTTTGTGCATCATTCCTATTTTTATTTTCTGTCTGCAAGTTAAAAGTGTTTTTTTGTTTTTTTTTCCTCTTGGCAGATTGTTCCTGCAGCTAGTGCATCCCAGCTCACTCTTGTTGACTTGGTTTGTGCTCTCAGCACCCTGAAGACCGACACAGTGTTACACCTGGTGAAGGAAGTGGTCAAGAAGCCACCGCAAATTAAGGGGGACGAGGTAACGGGCATTCTGAAGCCAGCAGCCCTCGATTAGGGCACCTCCAGAGGAATGTTTGGCATTCCTCCTAACTCTACTTGTTATACATTGTTTTGCGGGGAGGTGGCAAGTATAGGAATCAAGAGCAACTAGGAATTCCTGGTGTTGTGAATGGAGGTGGTATTAGTGTGCTCTCAGAAGGTCATGTGAAATGTGCCTACTGTGGTTTGACGTTCCTGTTTTAAGGGAGGAGCTACTTGAGGTCAGGGACTGACTTTCATCCTTATACCCCTGTAGAAGAACACACCACCCAGTGCATGGGTTCTTATCAAGGACCTACCGGTACCAGTTATCATCAAGTCGATTCCGATTTACAGTGCCCCTGTATGTGTCAGAGTAGAAATGTGCTCCGTAGGGTTTTCACTGGCTGCTTTTTTGGCAGTAGATCACCAGGTCTTTCTTCTGAGGTGCCTCTGGATGGACTTGAATGGCAACCTTGATTAGCAGCCAAGCATGTTAGCCTTTTGCACCACCAAGGGACTCCATCAAGGACCTAAACCAAAACCAAACCTGTTGCCATCAAGTTGATCCCAACTCATAGCAACCCTATAGGACGGAATAGAACTGCCCCCGTAGGGTCTCCAAGGAGCAGCTGGTGGATTTGAACTGCCAGCCTTCCACTTAGCCGAGCTCTTAGCCACTGCATCACCAGGGCTCCATCAAGGACCTACTGTGTGCCAAATCAAATAAAATCTTTAAAAATAGGAAATGGTACTTGTCCTCAAGTATCTTGTAGCCTAAAAGGTCAGGTTAAAACTTTGCAGAATTTTTACCAAAGTAAAACATAAATACCACAGGACATAACAAATGCTAGAAATTCTGAGAAAGAAGAGAATTCATCTGGCTGCAGTGAAGACAGAAGGCGTCGAGTTGAAGGTTGATGTGACTGAACCAGGAAGCACCTCATGGTTTTTCTGCTCAATTTCTGCACTAGAAGGGGTGCATGTCACATAGAGACTTTTTAAAATGTAGACAGTGAATTTGAAACAGACTTTGTGATTTAACATTTTTATGCCCTTTACAGTTTTTTTTTTTTTTTTTTTTTAACCAAAGCAAACCTCTTCACCTAAAATGTGGGAGCTGTTTTGCTTTTAATTAACTTGGTAGAAATCAGGGATTTATTTCGACCTTGAAATAACTGCCTTCTAACAAATAATTTAAAATTATACAGTAATGAAAAATTAAGACTAATCCCCTTAAATGAAAATTAGTAGAATGGAAAAAGTGATTATCAATAGACTTTTAGATACTAAGGTCGTCATGCTCAGAAAAGTTAGCCAAAATTGATCCTTGGGGTCAGAGGATTCCTTTTTCAGTCAGTGATTTTTTTTTTACCCCAAAGTGGAACACCTGACCACGGAATATCTTCAGTGACTTTTATAGCTAATATGATTGCATTGGAGGAGGAAGTTCCGGTTTGGTGGCCCTGCCCTGTTTTTCCTCTCATCTGAAATGGTCTCTTGCACATGGCACAGGGTAGTACACTACAGAAAACACCACACCTGAGGTCTTGCCCTCCACAGGCCTCTGACTAGTCAGTTGTGCTGGGACTCTGTTCGCTTCCTTCATTCCACAGTGTTTATAGAAAATTGATTTTGTGCACCACGTGGTACCAGTTGCCATCAAGTCATCTCTGACTCATGGCGACCCCATGTGTGTCAGAGTAGAACTGTGCTTCATAGGATTGTCAACAGCTGATTTTTCAGAAATAGATCGCCAGGTCTTTCTTCTGAGGTGCCTCTGGGTGGACTCGAATGGACAACTTTTTGGTTAGCTGCTGAGCGCATTAACCATTTGTACCACCCAGGGACTCCTGCATCACGTGGTGGGAAGGTCCTAAATACTGGAAGAATTCCTGCCCTCAGTCAGCCTATATTCTAACTGAGACAAGAAGATATTAACCCCAAAAATTAACACCACGAGGGCAGATGTTTGGAACGGGCTAAGTGTTTAAGGAATCAAATGTAAATGGACTCCAGGGGCTTCGACAGCATTTTTCAGAGGCCTGCCTCACCACATCTCCCACAGATGTCTGGCAGTCCTGCTTTCTTTCACTCATGCACATAAATATGAAAGTACCTTCGCTCTGTGAGTCATGGCCCCAGAAGAGAGGAACAAGAATGGAGGCCACTGAGTCGTAGCCAGATCCTCCGTGGATTTGGGTTTATGACTCTAAGCAAGTCTCAAGTGTCAAGGAATTGACCCTTCACACTGGTAGTTAACCCCTTGTTGTTAGCTGCTGTGAAGTCAGCCCCGACTCATGGTGACCTCATGCACAATAGGACGAAATGATGCCCAGAACTGCACCATCCCCATGATTGAGTGGGATCAGACTGCTGTGATCCATAGGGTTTTCATATACTTATTTTCAGAAGTAGATCACCAGACCTTTGTTCCTTGCCTGTCTTAGTCTGGAAGCTCCCCTGAAACCTGTTCAGTATCAGCAACATGCAAGCCTCCACTGACAGACAGGTAGTGGCTGTGCATGAGGTACGTTGCCTGGGAATTGAACCTGGATCTCCCTCATGGAAGGTGAGAATTCTACCACTGAGCCACCAGTGTCCTCAGTTAATCCTGGTGAGTGACTGTTGCTCTGGAATCGCAGGGTCATCTGTCCTCCTGGGGCAGGCGCCACAACAGTTTTTCTGGATGCACAGAGTAGGTACTTCCAGGTTTTGTGACACCACATTATTTGCATTTCTACAAATATTTGCAGCTTACAGTCTTCTCTCAGGCTGAAAAGAAACTAAAGCTTGTCTGGTTGACTGGTTTTTGGTTGTTCTCAGAATGTTTTATGGTTAGTTTATAACTTCTGTAACTTCTACAAATACCTTTTCACCAGCAAGGAGGGAAAAAAAGTGTTTTGGAAGCCAGTGTCTGTGTAGTCCAGCCAATTGGGATTTAGAGGAATTGTCTGGGCTGGGCTTGAGGGAGTTCCTTGGGCTAAAAATTCGAAATTGTTTTATTGTCTTTTGTCTGTAAGTAATCACATGCTTTCATAAATGTCAGCATTGACCCCCAACTTTTTGTTTTGGGAGGTTCAGTTATAATTCCACATTTCCCCTGAATACATGTTGATACCTGGAATGGAAAGTAGATAAACATAATGGGAGAACACTGTAGAAGTCTGCTAAGGGGGGTGAATGCTAAGGATTTGGGGCCTCATAGGATATATTTGTTTGTGGGATACTTTGTCTACAGGAGTCTTTGACTGCCAATCTTTGCTGTGTTAGGATATATACTCTCTGTTCCATTTTGCATCTGAATTCCTTTTTAGCCTTATTTCCTACCAACGTGGAGTCATTGATTTTGCTTTAACTTTCAGAAATCATCCCTAGTGGATATTCCTGTGCTGCAGTTTAGCTACGCTTTTATCCAAAGGTAATGCTATCCCCTCAAAAACGGATCAGAAGGACAGATGCTATTGCCGTGACCATAACTAATAGCTGATTTTATTTCTTGACCACTGTAGAGCCTTAGTTCAGAAAATACTTGAATTATGTCTTAGTGACTTCCCAGAGCATGGGAATACCCTGATGATTGTACTTTTCCTTCTCCAGAGATCTGACCTGCCATTTTAAAATGTATGTGTATTTGTTGAGCACCTTATGTTGGCAAAGCTTTATTTAAGGCCTGTTAAACTTTAAAAGAATCAGGTTTGAATTAAATCAGTACCAAAAAAAAAAAAAAAAAGTAAGAAAGTGTTAAGACCTCCTTCAGAGAAAGGAGAAATGGTTACTTTGGTGCTGACCTCAGTGGCTTCACATGTTTTATGCTGGGTGGCTCTGACTCCTGCTTTGGTTTGCTGAGTTTGATAGCTGTTTTAAGCTGTCTCAGCTGACGGAGGCATTGGAAGTAGCTTCCAGAGGCTTCTTTCCATAGATGAAAATGGAGCTTTCCTGGGTCTCCTTCAGCTCCTACAATGGCAGCATCCCAGATGCAGCTTGCAGACTCACCATACCCCCAACCCACCATTCCCTGTTGCCAGAAATGAGAGTGAGACTTCATATTGTCAAGATGTCAATACTACCTAAACAATCTATAGATTCTGTACGATACCGATCAAAATTCCAACAGCTTTCTTTGCAGAAATGGAGAAGCCAATTCTCAGATTTATATGGAATGGGAAAGGGCCTGCAATAGCCAAAGCAATCTTGAAAGAGAAGAACAAAGTAGGAGAACTCACACTTCTTGCTCTCAAAACATATTACAAAGCTACAGTTATCAAAACAGTCTGGTACTGGTATAATGATAGACATATAGACCAATGGAATAGAACTGAGAGTCCAGAAATAAAAACATACAACTATGGTCAGTTGGTTTTCGACAAGGGTACTAAGTCTATACAATAGGGAAAGAGCAGTGCAAAAAAAAGACCAAGAAATAAATGAGAGTGTAGAGGGCATAGGCCTTATCTCAAGAAAGCCATGCCCTGTTATCTTTACATATGCATCAAGAGTTTCACAATAAATTATTCTCACACCCAGGTACAGTCCTGTTGGTTAACACAGCTGATGTTCCATTGTTATCTGACGCAACACTTCTGGAGATCAGAGTTGCAAGAAGGAAGCTGAATCAAGGGTCATAATTTCAAGTGTCCCTGGGGCTAGGGTACAGTCAGACAAGCTGTTAACCCTTCACCCACCAGCATCACTGTGGTTCTTTTCCTCTGGTAGTTAAAGACGAGCCAGTCATTTCTCTCCTTCTGAGAGCTGGTGTGTATTGTCATAGTAGCTAATGATTATTGCAGTGGCCCAAGCTACATCTGAACTTCACAGCAGCTTCAAATTAAAGTTTTTGTCACCCTCCTTTTGCAGAGGAGGGACTGCTGAGATCACACAGGAGGTAGGAAGTTGGGAAACCAGGACTAGAACCTGGGACCCTCTGACTGCAGTCTGAGCTCTAGTTGCCTCACGGGGTTGCCTTACATTGTAGCAGTCATCACAGAATCTTCCTCATTCTCCTTGAGGCTTGACCTGATTGCTCCTGAAGGTCAGTTTCCTGGTGGCTGACCCCTGACCTTCCGACGGGTGATGCCACATTACCAACAATGTCAGGGAATATTAGAACAAGGTCAGGCAGAATATTAGATTTGGAAAGGCCTGAGAGGTCAAAGACAGTCATCCAGTTTAAGGCTTTTATTTTATAAACAAGGACTCCAGGAAGACCTGCCCTTTCAGTAGCAGGATCCCAGGTCTGCCAACTCCCAGTTCTTGCCAGAATACCAAAATTTAGCTTGTGCATATTTTAATACAAAAAAGAGCCAACAGATCAGTTAGATATGCCACGTCCCCCTCTACGTTTCAGCTGCCTGGTGCCAAAATGTTTTATTTTGACTTGTTTGTGGCTGGGATTTTTTTTTCTGGTTTTTTTTTTTTTAAATAGGCTCCCATTACCAACCCTGCAAGAGAACTTCCCTTCATTGTTGGGAGTACTAAAGGACTCTGTGCAGTTGAATCTAGCTCCACCTGGATATTTCCTGCTCCTCAGGTATCATGTCACAGCTTTTACACTGTCAAGAGTGTTTCCTGTTGCGACATTTGATTTCTGCAGAATTTTTTTATCTGGAGCTGATTGTCTCTCAACAGCATGCTGAATGACTTTGTAACAAGAACTCCCAGCCTGGAAGGCAAGAAGTATCAGAAAGACCTTCAGGTGTGTAAGTGAGGATGTTCAGCAAACTGTTACTATCCCAGCAGTGTTGTACCTCTTTTGTTTTTAGTTGCTGTCCCAGTAGATTCCTACTCATGCTGGCCCCATGTGTGCAGATTAGAACTGCTCCATAGGGATTTCAAGGCTGTGATCTTGTCGCACCGCACCAGACCGGTGGCAGAAGCGGCTCCAAGGGGCACATGTCAGATTCCAAAAAGGCAGAAAAAGCCAGGTTGATTAGATCTGGCTTTTATTAGGGAACTTACATACAGAGGTCAATGTCAAGATTCTTGCAACGGACAGCGAAATGTCAAGTGTCACCCAAGTAGAGGCTTTCACATGGCAGTGTGGGGTGGGGGTTTATATACTTAGTGCTTCGTGCAAGGATGCGTGCAGGAGACCCAGGAAAAAACACGTCTAATGTTTGATGAATGGCGTTGTTTTTGTACTAGTTAATGGGTTCCAGTTGATAATACCATGAAGTCAAGTATGTGGTGTGTTTTTTCCTGGCCAGGTCACTGCTCTGTTAAGTACTCTGGTTCTTCCCCAGAGTCCTTTGCAGGCAGGACCCATCTTGTATTGTTCAGGGCCCTCTCAGACCTTTCAGAAGCAGATCACCAGGCCTTTCTTCCGAGGTGCCTCTGGGTAGGTTTGAACCACCAACCTTTCAGTTGCTAGTCCAGCACTTAACTGTTTGCACCACCCAGGAAGGACATTATTATAGATCATAAACATTGGGCCAAATTTGATTTTAAAAATCTGCATTTGTTCTCAACTCTATAACTTCTTCCTTTACTGTATGTAGAGGCTTCAGGTAGATTTGGGGTCGAGGTCTACTGACGAAGGTTCTCGTGTTAAGCTTGAGCACTGTATTTAAATGGAATTTAAATGTGTTTAACTAGAATTTAAAAGATGGTGCTCCTTATCCCCACTGTACTCAGATGTGTTTGGAGCTGACTCTTACGCCTAATTGGAATAAATCTATCTCTATACACATATTTATTTCCTTAAACCTTTTTTCCCTCCCCCCCATAAAAGCAATACATACTCATAGAAAATTTTGAAAACACTGAAAAAATAAAAACAAAAGTCACTCATAAGGGACGCTCCTCCTTACAGTAGAATGCCAGTTAAGAGATATAGGTACAATGATGGAATTAGAATGTCATTATTTTGCAATATTTATAATCATTGATAATATTAACTGAATGCGTGTTAATAGCCTGGAATGGAAAGTAGGTAAACATAATGAGTTTGATGAAGAACAGGATATTTACATGGTCTGGAAGGCTCTCCCCACAAATTACAGTATTTTTTCACAAATAACACACGCGATATACGTTTTTGTCAACGACACAACTCCCCCCGCCACACGTTATTTTCATAAACACACTGTGCCAATTTTTTTACAAGTTGCTGACTTCAATTGAAGCTAAGAAGACATAATTAATCTATGAAATAAGCAGACCTAACATAACCTAATGGTTTTAGTTAAGACGCTCAGGTTTTCGTATTCAGCTGTTCAGCTAATATGCTGTAATTATCAACTTAAATTAATAGAAACAAACGCATAGTTTCAATTGCTTATTTTTCGATTACCAGAGGACTACCAAACTTGACCCATGACTTTTTCAGATATGATCGACAGTAACATTTTCAGACTATTTTTATACACACAAGCAAGAGATTAAAGAAAATGAACAGAGCAAAAGAAAATGAAGAGAAAGATATGATTTACCTGTAATACTGGAGGACAGGTGAAATTCACTTCCGGAAATGTCACAAGACATGCACGGTGTATGCATGAGCGCGCTCTGCCAGAACTGTTTGACTTAATTTCATCATTTCTGCACATTGTATGTGTGAGCATGTTATTTGAGTGGGCACGTTATTTGTGAAAAATACAGTACTTATTAATTACAATGGGGAGAACAGTAACTTGGCGGTGTGGCAGCCTGACAGACACCACCTTTAAATAGAAAATGGCTTCCCCAGTGATATAACAGCCTGCATCGGGTCACCCTAACATAGCTGCTGGAAAGGACACGGCACTTAGCAGTGCCCCTGCCAAAACCTAACAGGCTCAAATGAGTGGCATTCTGCAAAGGAGAGGGCCTGTGTTTTTTAAATGTCCATGTCATATCATGAGAGACAAAGAGAGGCTGTTCCAAATTAAAGGAAACTACAGCGTCAGTATCAGCCAAATGCAGTGTGGGGTCCTGGATTGGATCTTGGCCCGGGGAGAAATTGGTCTAAAGGACATTATTGGAACCACTGGCAAAACTGGATGTAGACTGTAGATTAGATCATGTTATTTTGTCAGTGTCAAATGCCTGATTTTGAAAACTGTGCTGTGGTCCTTGTTCTCGGGAAACACACACTCAGGTATTAAGATAGTAAGGGGTTTGATATTGGCAGCTTACTCTCAACGGGGTCAGAAAAAAATATGTGCATACAGAGAGAGAGAATGACAAAGCAAATGACACAGAATGTTAACCATTGGTAAATCTGGCCAAAAGGTATATAAGAGTTTTGTGGAAGTTTCTGGAAGTTGAAATTATTTCAAAATAAAAAGTTAAAATCACCCATAATTCCATTGACGAAAGACAACCACTGTTAAGATTTTTGCTATTATGTATAAAAGATAATGTACTCAGTCCTTGGGTGGTGCAAACAGCTCAGCCCTCCACCACTAACCAAAAGGTTGGTGGTTAAATGTGCTGGAAGTGTAAAATACACACCAGATTTCAAAGATTTAGTATGAAAAAATGAATGTAAAATCTCATTCATAATTTTTATATTGATTTACATGTTGGTAATATTTTTCATATGTTGGGTTAAATAAAATATATTATTAAAATTAATTTCACCTATTTCTTTTTACCTTTTACCTCCTAGAAAATTTAATTTTATATATGTGGCTCACAGTTGTCGCTTACATTATATTTCTGCTGGACAGTGTTTTTAGACACTCAAGATTCTTTTCCGTAACTAACTTCCTTTCCTCTTTCTCCTGATTATTCCCAGGAAGTCACTCAAAAAATCCTAGAAGCAGTGGGGAATATTGCTGGCTCTTCCCTGGAACAAACTAGCTGGCTAAGCAGAAACCTGGAGGTGAAGGCCCAGCCTCAGATCTCTCTAGAGGAATCTGATGCTGAGGAAGATTTGTGTGGTACGTGTGCAGGGGTCAGCAAATAATGCTAGCTGCTAACTAGTGTTTCTAATTTTCTCTTTAAAAAAAAAAAAAAAAGTCTGTTTTTACTTCTTACAATGTAAGTTGTATGTAAGCATTATGTCCCTGGATGGCGCAAATGGTTTGCGCTCAACTACTACGAAAAGGCCGGTGGTTCAAATTCACCCAGTAGCACCATGAAAGAAAGACTTGGCAATCTACTTCTGTAATATCACAACCATTAAAAACCCTACGGAGTGCAGTTCTACCCTGAAACATGTGGGGTCGCCATGAGTCAGAATAGATTTGTCAGCAGCAGGTTTTTTTGGTTATATAGTAAAACCTGCGAAAGCCAGAACCTATGTAAGGCAGAAACCTTTCAGAGACGGAAAACGCAAATATTTTCCACTAAAACAAGTGATAGAAAAGTGGTAAGACGGCACCTTCTCAAAGGCAGAAAACTTGAAAGACCCAGAAAAACAAGGCAGTCCCACTGAGTTCCGGCTGTCACGTATTTCACTGTAATAAACATTAGAATTTCACTGGAGAGCATCCTGAGTGACATAAGCTACCATGTTAAACCTTCACTGAGCCTAGGAAAGGATCCACACAAGTAACTTCCCAAGATAAGGTACGTGGACTTGGTGATAGAATGTCAGTGTGGGATGAAGATGACAGCATATGTTTTTCTTTTTGTGGAACTACGGAGGAGAAGCTTAGTAATCCAACAAGCTATTTTCACGCATTTTATGTTGTGCATTTTGGTTCTGACTACAACCTTCTCCTCACTTATTGTCTATCTTGTTATCTGATTTTTCCCATTTACTACAATAGTAAAAAATCTAATAGCCGACTATCTTGCACATTAACACCATACGTTTGGCAGTAACGAACGCTGAGGTGCAAGGCAAGAGTAATGCTGGCTGTGATGGTTAAGATTATGTGTCAACTTGGCTGGGCCATGATTCTGAGTGGTTTGGCTGTTATGTAATGATGTAATTTGGCAGTTATCTAGTGATAATTTGGCAGTTATGTAATGATGTAGTCATCCTCTGTTTTTTGTGATCTGGTGTGGTCATCTTCCAGTTTTGCATAACACTGATTTTTGCACAATGACTTCATCTTTGGAACCTAACCATGTCGATAAGTGACGAGTAGGTGTTATGCACCCTTGCCTTTCAGTGACCATTTGTGTTTAGCTCGCTACTTCGAATGTGCAATTACTTGGAATTTATAGTGGAGGCAACATAGACTAGGCACACCCCAGCCTTCTTATTAGTTATAGTTTCCTAGAAAAATGATTGGGAGACTCTCAGAGAAAACTAATCAGTGATCAACAAGCTACTCTTCAGGCATCTGTGTTAAATGCGATAGTGTAGCTTGTCAGTTTCCAGTGCCACAGAAGACCACCAGGCAAACCTCTCAATCAAGCCAAGCTAAGTTTATTAGACCTACTGCAGTAAGGGAGAAAGTTGCGGTTTCTTCCCTCTAAAAGAGGACAGCCAGGTGAGGATATGTAGAGGGTTTTAGGGCCTTGGCTGGATGATTTTTTGGCAGCTCTTTCAAGGTAGGGAGCTGGGTGGGCTTGAGCTGAGTTAATGATAAAATAGCTTTAGATTGGTGGGCACAGTGAGGTTCTGGAAGTGACTCTTGATGAGCAAGCTGCTAGTTTTGATAAATGAGTTGTTTTTGTTGGTTTATAGTATTTTCTTTCAGGATTTAGTGTATCTTGGGGCAAGGCATTATTTTTTGCTAGTTCTCAGTATTGTTTAACACAGGACAGGAAAGTTTGCCCAGTCCCAGTACTGCATAACAAGGACAAGACAGTATGTTTGGTGGCAGTTTTGTTTAACACAGGAACAGGAAATCACGTTAGTTTTAGTTCTTAGTATGAACTACTTAGCACAGTACCAGCCACAAAGTAAGTGTTCAATAAATGTTAGCTTTTGTACTGCTATCATAGTCATTAGCAATAGCTACATCAGCAGAAACACAGCTAAATTTACTATTTTTAATATACAAGGAAGGAGCCCTGGTGGCACAACGGTTAAGTGCTTGGCTGCTAACCAAAATGTTGGTGGTTTGAACCCACCCAACGACTCTGTGGGAGAAAGACCTGGTGATCTGCTTCCTAAAAGATTATAGCCAAGAAAACTCTATGGGGCAGTTCTACTCTGTCCCATAGCATCAGTCTGAACTGGAATCGACTCCACAGCACACAATAACAACAAAAATATACAAGGAAAGAGGAGTCAATCAGTCAGGGCTCTTTTGGTTGCAAGTAACAGAAATCGTCTTAGACTAACTGAAACGAAGACAAGAAAACAAAACGCTTTTAGCTCATGTAAGTGAAAAGTCCCAAGTCAGCATCTATTTTAAGGTATAGCAGCAACTAGGTGTTCAGAAGAGGTTAACCAGGTCTCATGCAAAGATTCTGATTGGCTCTGCTTGGGTCATGTGCCTAACCCAGAGTTGGGGAGGAGGGCTGATTCACTGAAGCCCCATGAAAAGGACTGTCCACCTGAAAGAGGGTACTAATCCCAGAAGAAGAGGGGAGGGAGGTATGCTCGACAGACAGAACAACACTGCAGTCCGTTCCTTCAGCCATATTTGTTTGATAGCTACTTTTGTGGTTTGTGTACTTAATTCTATAATAAAGATGCTGTAACTAGTATACTATCATTTGCTAGTATCACGCAACAGGCTGTGGGTATGGTTACAGTTGTGGTTCTGGGGAAAGAGAGGTCTTGCTTCTTCTTGGCTAATTTGTCCTGGTTGTTTCTGTCGTACATACTGATTGATTAAGCTGCTTCTTTACCACAAGTGCAGCTGTGTAGACTCTTTAGAGTCAAGTGTTACTGGGTTCTGGTTTTTGTGCAATAATTAACCTCAAAGCCAATTCTGTACTAAAATAATTACCTGAATTTTTTTGTTGCTCCTGTTTAGAAATCATAGAATTGTAAACTGGGACTGATTTTTTAGCATCTCAGTAAGACTTAATCAGCAAATTGTAGCGCACCCAAAAAACTACATGTTTGGATCATAACTTTACTTCAGTCTTGCTGAACAAACTGTGTATACATATATTGGCTATATAAAGCACGATACAGAATGCTTTTTTTCTTTTTCTCCACTTAAAATTGTTATACGTGCAGTGGATGTAGAGGTTCTTGAGTACAAGTCTCTGAGAAAAGAAGTCTTAGTGCATGCCTGGCATGGGCCACACATTGTTTTCTAGGTCCTGGTGCTAGAGCAGCAGGTGAAATTAGTAGGACCTCTGCTCTCATGGGGCATAGGAGAGACGATTAAAAAAAAAATCATCGTGCTCAATATCATATGTCATTAAAAAAAAACACATTGTCGTCAAGTCAATTCCAACTCACAGTGACTCTATAGAACAGGGTAGAACTGCCCCATAGAGTTCCAAGGCTGTAATCTTTATGGAAGCAGACTGCCACATCTTTCTCCTGCGGAGCAGCTGGTAGGTCAAACCACTGATCTTTCAGTTAGCAGCTGAGCGCTTAACCACTGCACCACCAGGGCTCCTTTCCTATCTCATTAGTGAAGTGCAAGTTAAAACAACAATGAAATACCGTTACACACCAGTTACAATGGTTAAAATCCAAAAACACTGACAACATCAAATGCTGGCAAGGATGTGGAGCAACAGGGACTCCCATTCATTGCTGGTGGGAATGCAAAATGATACAGTCACTTTGGAAGACATTCTGGCAGTTTCTTACAAAGCTAAACATAGGCTTACCATATGATCCAGTAATCGTGCTCCTAAGTATTTACCCAAATGAGCTGAAAACGTATGTCCAGATAAAAACCTGCACATGGATGTTTATAGTAGTTTTATTCATAATTGATAAAAATTGGAAGCAGCCAAGATGCCCTTCAATAGGTGAATGAATGAACGAATTGGTACATTCATACCAAAAAACCAAAACCCACTGCTGTCGAGTCAATTCAAACTCATAGCGACCCTATAGAACAGAGTAGAACTTGCCCCATAGGGTTTCCAAGACTGTAAATCTTTACAGAAGCAGACTGCTACATCGTTTTCCTGCGGAGTGGCTGTTGGCTTTGAACTGCCAACGTTTTGGTTAGCAGCCAAGCACTTTAACCACTTCGTCACCAGGGCTCCTATACATTCATACAATGGAGTATTATTCAGTGATAAAAAGAAATGAGCTATCAAGCCACAAAAAGACATAAAGGAACCTTAAATGCATATTGCTAAGTGAAAGAAGCCATTCTGAAAAGGCTACATACTGTATGATTCCAACTATTTGACATTCTGGAAAAAGGCAAAATATAGAGACAGTGAAAAGACCAATGGTTGCCAGGGCTCAGGTTAAGATGAGAGTGAATAGGTGGAGCACAGGGCATTTTTAGGGCAGTGAAACTATTCTGATGATACTGTACTGGTGAACATGTGACATTATGTTTTTGTCAACCCATAGGACTATACAACACAAAGAGAGAACCCTAATATAAACTATGGGCTTTAGTTAATAATAAGGTGTCAATGTTGGTTTATCAGTTGTAACAAATGAATTACATGAATGTGAGGTGTTAATAACAAGAGAAAATGTATGCGGGAGAGAGAGGGGATATTTGGGAGCTCTCTGTACTTTCTGTGCAAATTTTCTATAAACCTAAAGATGCTCTAAAAAATAAAGTCTATCAAAATCAGTCAGTATCCAAGAGCATTTTAGGTGGTACTTATTAACACAGTGAGGAAAATAAGTGTAATGTCATAAAAAGTGACTGGAAGTTGGGGGAGCCACTTTAGATGTGACAGAACATGTACCCAAGGAAGCAACTCTCCTAGTGAAAACACTAGACTGGCGCTCTGCTCGAAGTTAATAACAAAGAATTTTATTAAGAAAAAACACAAATAAGATCATTTCACAAAATGGAGAATCACACAGGCACTCAAGCAAGAGGGAGCGTGTGTTCTGGCTTGCAGGGAGGGCAGTGAGGTATTTATC